GAAAACACAAGCTAGACTGGGACTGGGACCTTCTTGTTCTTGTACACATGCTTCATCTCAGCCACCACATTCATTCCAAAACATAGGAAAGCTTCTTAGAGAAAGGTATGTGATGCACAGGGGTATGATTTTCCCCAGAGTTTACCAATTCATTTGGTATCTATCTGAAGAAGGTAGGAAGGAGGAAGAATAAATTCTAATTTTAATTTTAATACATGTAGTGAATAAAACAAACATGTTAAAAGCCCAGAACAGTTTAAAAATCTCATCTCTATCTGTCCATACCAAAAATTACCTATGTAGTATTTTTCTAGCAATCCATAAATAGAATTCAGAGTATTAGAAATTATCAAAGAAGTCTGTTGATGATTCTGAGGATAATCATTCATGTTGAGGATGCCTGAATAACTTGAATAACTTAGTTTTCACATTGTAGCTGCATATTTTATTAACTTAAGCCAAACCCTCGATTTATTCTTGTACTTGACACAGCCAACAGTACCTCTGAGGTGGTCAAATTCACTTTCAGAGAAACCTAATTAGCTAAAAAAAAAATAAAATAATGCATTACTTTGGCTTCTCTTTGTCTGAGAGCTGGAAAAAAATATAAATTAAATAAAGAGATTTAAATAAAGTGCTAAGGACCTGAAATCCTTCCATATGAATTATGACTCCAAAGTGCCAAGAATTCCCTAAAAAGTGCCAAATAGGTCACCATCTGAAGAGCAGCACAGAGAGTCCCAGCTACTCTGGCCAGTGAGTCAACTTCATTGGTGGCCAAATTTAAAAACCTCTATGCAAAGGCAAGCAGCCTGGAGCATAAAATAATGATAGAAGGAGGAATCAGAGACATGTGCATGCCTGCAGGACTAAGACTTAGTGGCACCACAGAGATGTAGTGGGACAACTCTGACTGGACTGCTGGAAAGGACACAGGCTCTTTAGGAACAACAGGCAGGGAAGATGTGGAGACAGGGTTGTCTTCTATGTCAGTGGCCACCTGGAGAGAATGGAGCTCACCTGGGAAGGGATGAGGATCTGACTGAGAGTTCATGGGTCAGGATTAAAGGGAGGGCAGGGGCAGGTGATGTGTAGGGGTCTGCTGTAGGTCACCTTACCAGGAAGACCAAGTGAGTGCAAGCTTCTAGAGACAGACATTAGCAGCCTCACATTCACAAGCTCTAGTGCTCATGGGGGACTTCAACCACCCCAAAATCTGTTGGAGGGATAGCACAACAGGGCATAAGCAGTCCAGGACTTCCTGCATTGATTATAACTTCCTTCTCCAAGTGGCAGAAGAATCAGCAAGGAGATGTGCTATGCTGGATCTTGTACTCACCAACAGCAAGAGGCTGCTGGGCAATGTGAACTTCAAGTGTAGCCAAGGCTGCAGTGACAATAAATTTGTGAGGCCCAAAATCCTTAGGATGGCAAGGAGGTTGCACAGCAAGGTCCCCAACATGGCCTTCAGGAGAACAGACTTCTTCTTGGTGAAGCACTGGAACAGATTGCATAGAGAAGTTGTGGATATCCCATTCCTAGAAGATTCCATGGCTAGGCTGGATGGCACTTTGAGCAACCTTGTCTAGTGGAAGGTGTCCCTGTCATGGCAATGAGTTTGGAACTAGATCACCTTTAAGGAAGACCCCTTTCAACCCAAAACATTCTTTGATTTTATAATAAGTGCTGATGACAAGAACTGAGGTATCATGCTGGTTGGAGTAGGTTTTTAATTGTCACCCATGAGCAGAGTAGTTAAAGTCTCCACCATCAGTTTTCTCTGTCTCAGTAGCCAGCAAAACAGAACTGGCTAGCTCTTCCCCTAATGAAGGATAAATATTTCATCCTGCAGGCAGCAACCATCCTCTTCTTTCACAATTATTCATTGTGCATGTTCATTGACTTATTAGCAGAAGGGTTGTAGTCAAGAGGACTTCCTGAATAAACACTGTGTTATTTTACCCTTGCTACGGCAGGATACTTTGGAATTATTTCAAAGAACAGAAAGAAGTTGTTCAAAGAGTTTATCACAGAGGCATGCATGACAGACAGCCCATTCCTTTATCACTTCATGCACTTTTGGTTTGGGAACACTTTGATCCCATGATCCCTTTTGGTTCTCAGTTAAGGACATGACATCGGTATATCTCTCCTGACACTTATTTGCCCATCTCTTGTGCCTTCTTCATTTTCTTGGCAGTTTGAAAGGTTCTTCAGACATGAAGCAAGGAAACACTCCTTCCTTTCCTTATGATCAAGTTATCATTCCCTTTCCACCTTCAGACTTGCTGTCTCTTTTCTATTTCATATCACATCAGTGAGTCAGAATCTGTCTTTCTAGTAAAAGCTGCTATTGTGTCCACAAAAGAACACTTCTCCCTGCACCTCAGCATCCCCTTCTTTCTTGTCTTTCATTTCCAACCCTGTGTGTGAGCTACCCCAAGCATATTTCCTTTACTAAAATTAATTGCCATTACAATGGCTTTATCTTGTGGCAGGTATGAGGCATTGCTCAGGGTGAATTTCACCCAAATTCAGTGCTTTGCTTTGCATGTAGCAGTGATTATAGAAGAAAAGTAATCACAGTCTTGTCTTTACTACGGAGACCAAAGCAGAGATTTGCTGCATTTGAGATGCAAGACAAGCCTTTTATGTTCAAGCTGCTGCTGTTGATACTTGGAGCTGTACCAGTTGCACTGTTTCTAATTTGGAGAATAGCAAGCATAGGGGATTATTGGATGCAGCCACATGGTCTGCATTTTCCCTCTGACACCCTTTCCTTTGTGACCCTAGCCCCCTCCCAAGAGCCAGGCTAAGATGCTTCCATTTGATAACACAGAAAAAAAACTTTCCAATTTTAGTAGCCTTCATATTCCTGTTATGTGAAATAAAGACCATACCTTGAATTTGATACGAGAGCAGTTAGGTCATTAAAGAGCCTGGCAACATACCCCAAGGGTACAGAAGCTCCTATGTGGAGAAATTTTTATGTAAACATTTCATTCTGATAGTGAACAGTTAAAATTAGTCCTTTAATATGTACTTTGCATAACCATCAGATAATGCCCAGACTTCTCTCCTATTTATTTTTTTTCAAACACTCCTTGTCACCTATATGTGTGCATTGCCATGAAACATTATGTTGTGTAATCACTAGACAGATTACCTGATTTTGCAAACTGAGCTTCACTGTAAGCTAACGTGTAGCTGATAAATTAAGTCTGTAATAAAGCCATGTCCATTGCAGATCACCTTGGCTTTTAAATGTTGATGAATGGGAACTTACTTCACAAATGCTTTGATTTTTTTTCATTATTTTCCAGTGCCAAAACACTCAGAATAGCTGCTTTCATGCGTCAAATGTTTTATAGCATTGGGACAATCTAGCCTCTACTTTATTATTTTAATCATTTTTCTGGTTTGAATTTTTGGCTGTGTTTTATTCTCTGTAGTCTGAGATTCTAGTAAGTTCTTATGATGAGAGGTCAAACTAGAAAAAACAGCCCTGCTGGTTCTGTCAACTAAATTCAAACATTACTGTGAAGCTTTATAACAATAATACCTTTCGTGCTACTATATTCTGTAAGCAATTCAAGTGGAATCCCTCTTCTGTGTGGTTATTATAACTCAGCCATAGAAATGTGCTTTGGGCTGAAAATGGATTTATAAGATTTCTTCCCAGGAGCATATGCTTTGTAAAATTTAATTTAAATCAGCTTAGCTATTTTTTTTTTCTTTAAAGACTGAAGAATAAAAACAAAAATAGATTGATATTTTTCCCTTAGCAGAAAAAAACTCTTACTTTTCTTTCAATAACAAGTAGTCATTTTTCTTGCCCTTCATGAATATACATAATTCCATCATCTTTGGGGAAGGCATGTGGAGGACCATGAAAAACAAATTAATTTTCCTTTTTTAAAATGAAATGCAGAGGCTGTCTGTGCCTCTATATTTCCTGTGTACTAGGATTTTCTGTGGGTACAGGGAACAATATAAAAATTCCAATAATTTTATTGGAAAGGAAAAAAAAAGAGGCTACTGCACTTAACTACTTTTCACAACAGTCAAAACAGAGTTTCATGAAATGGCAGTAGCAAAAAAAAAATCTAATTCAATGCAACATAACTCAGCTTGCATACCTATTATACTAGAGATTTGTGGACCCAACTTTTTTTCTGCTCTGACAGGCATATGCTGAATATGAGGTGCTTTTATCTGTTTGTTCACTTCTTTCACAGTTCCTCTGGTGATATTTAAACTCCTGCTGGAAGAATTGCTTATGAAGATCTGCAGCCCTGGGTACATTTCTCTTCAGATTCTGGCTACATGAAGAGCACCTTGATAACCTGCCAGAGGTCATGTGGGCTCTGAGCAGATCAGATTGAGCAGAGCAGCTCATCAGACAGGGCTGTGCCATTTCATCTGAGTCTGCACACCAACTGCTCAGCAACTGACAAAGAGTTTGAAAATGTAACAGTGATTCTGCTCATGGAAACTAGGGAAAAAACCTGTCTCATCCACGTAGACGGTCTAATTCAGGGGCCTCTTCAGTACACCTTCCCTTCCCTTCCCTTCCCTTCCCTTCCCTTCCCTTCCCTTCCCTTCCCTTCCTCTCCTGTTAATACAAACATAGAAAGTTGTCTACAGTGAAAATATCACTTAAAGCAAATGAATGAAATCCTGTGTTGGGGAGACATTCTTACCTTCACCTTTTTTAGTGCTTTAGCCCTAGATAAGCAGATTCCAGGGAAAAGAAGATTAGTTATAATAAATCAGCTAAATAGCAGTATAGAGAAAAAATAGGTTGCATTTAAAAGCAACTTGGGAGTGAGGATAATAAAGAAATTATGTCAAAAGAGCCTAATGAGTTTCATGAATACCAAGATAAGAATATCTTTAAAATCTATTTTAATATGTAAAAGTTATTTTAATATGTAATACATTGTTACACTCATCAACATGTATGCATATATTTACAAATACTCAGACATGCACATATATCTACATATATATGAATAGCCTTGATGCTAATTTAATCTTAAATTTATCTCAGATTCTAATTCTCCCAGGTGTTCAAGATGTTAAAGTATACCATGTGAAGCTGACACATATCCCAGGATAGGAAGGAAGCAACCTCAAGGCATCTGGCTTGCTACAGTATGCTCACAGGCTGTTTTTGATGCAGGAGGCAGTGCAACAATTCACTGACAAGCTGGAAAGAGCAAGCCAAAGTGATTTGGAGAGTGAGCAGTCAGTGAATAGAAGACAATGCTACATGTCAGAGATCCTGCAGCTCTGCCATGTCAGATCATGGAGCTGGATCCAAACATCCGTGTTCAATTTATATAGTGGATTTCATAGCAGAATAATAGGCAAGTTCATTCACAACTTGATTTATGTCAGGTTGATCAAAAGCTAGCGTGCCTTTCTGCCATGTTGTGGCCAGTGGTCCAGACTGCTTCCTTCAGTCTATTCACATAGCCAATGTCTTTTTCTGAGTTCTCACATCTCAGTAGCTCTCACATCCCACCTTAGAATCCTGCCATGGACAGGTATTTCTTGTTTCACTCATTTCTATTCATACATGTCTTACGACCTGTGCTCAACTGAGATGCTTTTCACCATTCTTTTCCTCTAACACAGAAATAGAGACAGGTTCTTTCATCTTTGTAGCATTTCACACCTCATCTCAGACTCTTCTCAGCACTATCAAGTGGAAAAGAGATAATGGAAACATAATGAAATACAAGAAAATTCATTCAAGCATTAGAAAAATCTTTCTTATTCTGTGTCTGGAATGGGTTGCCTAGAGAGGTTGTGGAGGCTGCATTCCTGGAGATGTTCAAAACCCACCTGGACATCACCGAGCAAACTACTCTCACTGACTCTGCTTGAACAGGGTTTTAGACTAGATGATCTCAAGAGGACACTTCCCACTTCAGTGTTTGTGTGATACAGTCGTCTTCAGGGCCATGTCTCATTAATTACTCACTTGGCGACTCTTCCTTTCAAAAACTGTATCTAGCAGTTTATGACACCTAGGAGTTATATTTCCAAACTTGTTCCCATGTCTTGGAAATCACCCTACAAACTTGTGCAAATCTTTCCTCTTCAGGATTCCCGTGAAAACCCCTTCTTGCCATCTATACAGCCTATAAAAGGAATTTGTCAAGAGGTAGAGAGTTGCTGTGTCTACTTGTTTCCTCAACTGTACTTCCATGTCTGCTCCTCCCTTTATAATTCAGGCTGTAAAAGACCTGTGACAGAAACTATGCCTGGGTTTTTAATGCACCTACCACTGCTGTTTATTGTACATAAGCAGGACTGCTGGACACTCATTAAAAACAAAAAAATAAGTGGGCAACACCAGAATGATCACAGTATGTTCCAGACTGGGTCAAAACTAAAAATAAAGACCTTAACTACTATTTTCAGTGTTAGGGCATTATTTTGCTTTTATAAACACACAGAAACTGTAAAGCATCTGGAATTCAAAGGATTTCTTTGTTTTCTTTGTTTCTTTGTTTTGTTTAAGTTTTACCAGTTCCATGGAATTCAGTCTGAAGTTTATTGGTTACTATGGTGACTAACTGTAATAAATGAAGTGACAAAGGCCTCAGACTTCATTTAGTGGGGAATAAGGAGCAGCTAGAAGCAGAAACCTCTTCTTTTCACAGACAGGTCATTCAGTCAGCCCCTTGCATAGCTGTTAATACACAGATGGATTTTGAATCCTTGGCCTCCTGTACTGATAGGTCTGTGTTGTATTGCACTAAAGGTCTGCTTCTCCCCTTATTTAATGGTGGTGTGCTGAGTGCAAGGAGGCAGGCAGTCTCAATGAAGATGAAGTTCTGAAGCTGTTCCCATCAAGTGGAGTGGCACTAGGTCCTAGACAGACATATTTTTTCCAACTTACCCCATGCACTGCAGCCTGAGCCACTGCCTGAGCAGAAGTTGTTTTCCATGTGTTTTTACCTCTCGCTGGCAGCAGAGATTATACTGTGTTGATTGTAACAAGAAATATCCATCCTGCTGTCCTATTTCTTTGATTCAACAGGGGTAGGAGGGAAGATCTTAAGCAGGACTGCAGTTGTGGGTGGCCAATTACCTAGCAGGATGTCTGGGAAAGATCTTTTTGCTGTTTGTACTTCCTTACCAACTGTGCAGAAAGCAATTAACACTTTGTCCCTCTTCTTTCATTTTTGATACCTGTATAAATAGCAAAAGGAATGCTGCAAGCAACAGAAGAAATCCAGACTGACCTTTGTGATGAGAGTGGTCAACTCAGTCCTGAGGCAGCAAAACCAGAAATGCTTGTCATTGTCACATACTGATTCCATTGAAATAAAGTAGCCGCTGGAACATTTATCTCAAAAACAATACTGTAGCAGCTTTTAAAGAACAAAATTAGTAGCTTGATTAGTACAATAAAATGTTCTCTTAAGATTTCAGGAGATGTGCAGGAAATTTTTCTTGTTTTGGCTAAATTTTAGAGTGACATAATACCTATGGTGTTGTGTAATATGTTTCATGGGATCAGCTTAAATGTAAATACACATACATGTAAAATTCAATGTGTTTGTGGCAGTCTGACCCATATGTCACCAGAATTAACTTTCCTGCCTATGTTTGTCTCTTTTCAATATTCCATACCCAAAAACTACACTACACTGCGGGACACTACACTGCTTATGGAACACAACATTGACTCAATCCTGCTGCATGGACAGAGAAATAAAAGCCAAACCAACCACTTTCCTGCTGCATTACACCCATATTCCTCAGAAACACCTCCCTGACCAAAAGATAGAAATGTTCATTTCCTCCTGCCAACCCAATTTTTTGTGGGAGTGGAGAGTTGCAACCTGGGCAGATCAAAGATGGAGAAGTATGGCATAGGGAGGAGAGTCTAAGATTTGCATAGAGAGCACAAGTCATATGAGTTTGAAATATAATGTATGGCTTGCAAAATGTGTAATTAATACTTAGAGATGTCCTTTGAAAAACAAAACAGCTCAAGCTCCCTGTCAGCCTGGGTGACATAACCCAAGGCAGAGTTACAGGCAATAAAAACTTGCCTGAATATATCTTGTGGCAGTGCCTTTCTCTAAGAAACATAATTGTGTGGCACTGGCTTTATCTGCATTTCATGAATGGCCCAGATTTTGTCCTGGTAAGCCTTTGACTCTACTGGTTTGACTCTACTGGTCCTGTTAAACTGGTATCTGGAATTTCAGCTGGGAAAAAGTAGCACCATCTTTGCTTTTGAGGAATTTAGTGTCCCCCTTGAGATGAGAAAGACAGGTGACTGTGTCACACTCCTACTCTGTTCCAGAGTGCAGTCCAGCTAGAGGTCTCAAATCACACACTGCTTTAAAACAATGTTTAAAGTCCATGTATATTTAGCCATGGATCAGAGTATTTGATTTTACTCTATGTGTAAAGGAGTTGGGAAGATACCTCTCCCATCGGGCCTGGGAGAGCTCCCAAGAAACCTTTGAATGTATTTTTCTCTAAGGCCTCAAATAAATGTCCAACTTTCTAACACACACACACCTTGGGGATAAGCAATTATTCATGATACAACAAGAAAAATACAAAAAGTATGTCACTATAAATTCTTAAATCAGCTGTTTCACTTTCTAATCTTTAAGCATTTTCTTTGTATGATCTGTCATAAATATTTATTTTTGCTCCTTAAAAAGCATTCACTTATTGATGTTTGGGGAAAGATGATTTATTGCAGTACTAGAACAAAATTAATTCACTTTTAAATGTGAGGTAAGTTTTGCAAAAGAGAATGAGTGCTTCAATGCAAGATCCAAATGCCAGAGTCTCAGCACTGGTTGCACAACTCTGAAGGACAAAAGTTAATGCTTCAAACAGAACAACATCATTGTTGAGATTTATGCACTGAAGACTTACTTTCCTTGTCACTAAGACCATTATTTTTATTTACATCTAAAGAGCAAAAAGTTATGCTGGGCGCCTGTCTTTTTTTCACAGGTCTAGGGAAAGCTGGAGATTATCAATTATGTGAATAGCTATATAATCTCTCCTGATTTCAAAAAATCTCAACTACCATTCAACATTAGCTCACAGTGGACCTAATATCTTCCTGCACTTTTCCTTATGTTGATCCGTAAACTTTGTGCAACTTTTTATAGGGCCAGGAGGAAAGAGAGAAAAAGAGGATGTTTAGAATGCATTGAAATTATGCTTTGACTTGATTAAACACATATCAGTGTCAACCAGCCTGTGGTAAGTTACCTACTTGTGATAAATAAGTACCATGGGAGAAAAAGTAGGTATATGGATAAAACAAAAATACTTGAATGCCATTTTCTGATCTACACATCAGGATTCCTTTTTAAAATGCCACTTTTTAATCATGCCTACACTAACTATTATTTATGTTGCAGCTAACCAGAGAACTGGGCAGCAAGATCTCGCATTTCCTAGGCCTGGTCCTGTTCTGCTGGATCTTTCCCATACCACAGTCTGTCTGAGACACTGAGGTTTTGTTCATGTTCAGCTCTCTCAGCTGCAGGCAGCCCCAGAGGTCACAGCATCCTCTCTAGAGCTACCGGAGCAATCTCCTCTCCTAGCTCCCTGCTGACCATCATCCCTACATCTCTCCCACCTGAAGATGAGCTTTCCCAAACCCATTTCCCATCTGTTTAAGAGTGAAAAGTGAAGAGTGAAGAGTGTTGCTTGGTTCCTAGCCTGCCCTGTGTACCCAGGTCTCTGTTGTGGCCCATATTAACAATGAAATGCTTAGTGGGCACGGCAGCTGCCCCTTCAGCATTCACTGCCCTGCTCCAGTGCTGCCTGCATTGTTTCCTCTCTCCCCTGCCTCCCAGCACTGGATGCTTCCCCTGGTTCATTAATAACGGGTGTTCCTAACTATGAATTATAGCACCCAGAACAGAAGCGTACATTTAAAGGACCTGCGATTTCTGCTGTAAAAAAATGCTTTTTCTTGAGGAAAAAGTGAAATTGAGGTTCTCACACCTTTATAATGACATTAAATACATACATACATTTACCTTTAGGTCTCTAAAGTCATACATTGAGGTCAGTAGGAAACACATCACACTGTGATCAAAGGTGATACAATTCCCTTAAGGTCAGTTCTCAGAACTAGTGTTCCTACTCTCAAAGCCCAGTGGGCAACTCTCTCACACCATTTACCAATATGCATGCAGACAATCCAGGTTTCTGTGCTGTCCTTTGGCAGCCCATTAAAACCCAGGAAAAGATTCCTCTTTAATTTTTCTGATTCCTCTTTCATTTCCCTGTTCTGCTGTGACTGTCAGAGCTCCTCAGCCTCTGAAGGCTAGGAGGAAAAAAAGCAATGTGGGATGTATATGACCTTTCATTGAAAAAAAAAAATAAATAGCATCAAGTGGGAAAATTTTTTGTTTCCTCTGTGTTTTGGCAATATGCAAGAATTGGGCAAGTTGATCTGCAGCAGTATTTCCAGCTAGGGCTTCATTCACCTTTGAAGCCAACAGATAAGCTTACATATTAACTATCCTGATTTACGTTAACACTTAGCCATGGTGACAAGTACTCTTTGCACTCAGTGCACACTGACTTTGTCTTTCTGCTTGCAAGGAATTCAAGTAGACATTAGTGACGTTAATGAGAAAGAATAAGAGTGTGTATGTAAGCAAATCTTGAGATATTGGCAGGTACCAAGTCTGCAAAGGCAGTAAGCAGAAAATACTGATTAACACAACATGGTTTGCATGTTCTTTTTACCAAAAGATTTGTTCTTGTTTTGTGTTTATTCTTTGAAATATTGATAAGGTTGTTTGGTTTGGGTGGTTTTGATTTTTTTTTTTTCACAGAAGGAGTTATAGTTTTTTTAAATTTTGTTACAAATATTGGAACTTTTTAAACTTGTTTTGTTCCAGCACAGAAGTTATAAAATTCAAGTCCAGAAGCCACTGTTAAATAGTAGAAGTCTCATAATTCGGATATAACTGCAAGTTTGGAGATCCACAGAAAATATTTTCCCTGAAGCAGAAAAGATACAGTTGTCATTTCTTCTCAGAAGCACAGAAAATCAGTTTATCTGTCTTTGCATTGCACAGGATTTTGTTATTGAAAACAGAAACACCTACCTGTTTAGCCTTGTCAGTCAAGGCACCAGCTGCAATTCCTTTGCCTGTTTGCTACTCCAAAGCACCAGCATGTGCACAAGTTCTTTGCCAACCACAGCTGTGCACAACATGTCTCCTAAGTGACAGCAGAATCAACTATTTCCTATCTACGGCATGAGTTTCTACCAGGACAATTAGTGCCAAGTAGCCACAGTGCTATCAGCCCACACCCAAACTGAGACCTACTTTGGTTGTAGCAGTGACTGACATCAAAAACAGAGCACAAATATCATGTTCTGTTCTTCAAGAGGTCAGGACTGGTCTGTGGCAAAATAATAAGTTCAAGGGACAGAGTAGCTCTGAGTTGTCAGGCAACACAGGGTACAGAGGGAGGAAGGCAACAGGAGTGAGAAAAAACCTGCAGGAGATTCAGGACTGGTGGTCCTGAAGGGCATGTGGAGAAAAAGGCAGAAACTTTGAGCCTTGCATTTGAAAAAGAAAGTGGAAACCCTTGTCGTTGCGCTGTCACACTGACCTCACTTTACTTAACTGTGTAACTCTATCTTCAGATGAAAGGTCAAAATTTAGGTGAAGAGAGGACACTTATCAAAGTGTCTTGTCATGGGTCACTTAGGAGGCAGCCACTGATCCGTTTTCCTGAACCAGGGGGTCAAATCCATGATTCCTGAAGTGTTTCTGATTAACATTTTCTGCAGAGCCAGCCTTGGCAGTGTGGCAGGTAGTTTGTAGTTTACTCTAACGAGCACACTGCTGCTAGAGCTAACATTGACATAGCTGCAGGTGGATGCCAGTGACGTTAATAGAGATGGATAGGAGAGGAGATGGAAGCCAAACCTAAGATAGCAGAACAGATTAGACAGGCATACGAGGGTAGCAAACAGAAAATATTGATTGCTGCTTAGTATAGGACTGTACTCCCAAGCAAGAGCACTCAGCTGATTCAGGAGGCTGTATTTTTCCTCTCACAATTTCAGTAAGTCATTTCAGCGATTTTGCCCTGTTACGTTCTTCCTCTCTGGCAAGTAAGAATAATTGCCTTCTTCATAATACACTTTTCCCAAGCCAGATGAGTATTCATGGCTCTTCAATCATTTGTTGGTTTAGTTTCTCCTAGTTTTGTCTCATTGTGGTTTTATGTATCAATGATTTTGCTGAAGTCCTCTGACCTCCATGACAGCTGTTCAGTTTGAAAGAGAAATGTCTGTGCTACTGCCAGTAATCTTATCCAGACCTCCTTCATACAGTATAGCATGCATCAATTGGACAACATGCAGCTCTTTCTGTGATAACATATACCCTGATGGATGTGCTAACAGCACATTGGTAACTCAAGCACATGCCCTAAATTCCCTGACAGCTGCTCTCCCCCAACACCAATGCCCATATTTCCCAAGCTTATAGAGCACTGTCCATGTGGAGTTGATGAGGGACAAGGGACAAAGACTTTACAGGATTTCTGACCAACCAGCAAAGCACAGCTGGCAAGGGGATATGATTCAGGGAGGATGTGACACAACAAGAAGACAGGTGGGAATTTGGTGACCAGTCAGTAACAAATAGTGACTGTCCAAGAAACTAGCAACACAGCGAAAAAGGATGCTTTATGCTCAACCTCCTTTGCCCCAGCAATGTTGGCATTAAAGCAGAACTTTAGAACATCAGAGCAGAAAAACGTAGGAAAGTAGTTTCTAATTTATCAGATTGGAAGCACGGCGACTTTTGCAGCTGATCTGAGAGTTTACAGCTTAGAACCCTCTTTTTGGGTCTGCTCTTCCAAATACCAGAAAAAATGCAGAGGCCTTATTGTATTCGTCATATATAATACATATATGGCATACAACATATGGCAAAGAAGGTCGCTGTTTACCTTTATCCTGGTAAAGGTTACCTTTACTCCTTTATCCTGGAGTTATTTACTACCTATATTTTTTAGCTCTTTTTTCAAGGACCCTTATCCTAGAAGAATATACACTCAAATCTCTAATGTACAAGGATTTCATTTACATTACAAAGACAATATTTTTTTACTAAAAGACAGACTGTGGTATAGCTGAGAAGATCTGCAGTTAGCAGTCCAGGTCATGCTGCCCTCAAACAGCTGCAAAGGCAGGAGCAGAAACAGGCTTGGACTTGTGGAGAAAAGCCACAGGGCTGCAGCCCAGCAGTCAGTACAAATCACTGAGTGCATGTGCTCTGTGTGTGTCTCTGTGCTCCTGACAGAACCACAGGAACTCTCAGGCTGTGACAACACTAGACCCTGCTGAAACACAACCTAATCCTTTCTTGGCAATAATAGGTTGGAGTAACAAAGGTGTGCAAGAGCCAATATTTATATTTAAACAACAAAACTGTCTAAGTCAATGCAGCAGACAACATTATAAAGGCTTCAGGAAAGCTAAAATTAAGGCAGGGCTCCACCAGGGCCAGAGAACAGCACCAATTTCCCACAGCCACAACAGTCTAGATCAGTCTTAAATTAACTTCAAATTTCTTGGTCTCTACTTAAACCTCTCATTTATTAAAATACCAGATAAGGACTGTTAAGGTTAATTTCCTCATATTTTTTGGAAGACAATTTTAAAAAATCTTTCATGTAGGTTTGCACTCAGAAAAGAGTTGTATTTTTTCATCATCTGAGATGGAAAGTGAAGAGAGATGATGTATGGCAAAGCAAAAAGAGGCTGGAATTCTCAATAAGGGAATGAAGAAAAATAATAATGAGCAAACAGTATTGGGGACAGGCTTGTTTGATATCTTAATCAGTGATTTGGGCAAGGGGATTGAGGGCATCCTCAGTAAGTTAGAAGACAGCACTAAGTTCTTCAGGAGTGTTGATCTGATGGGGGGCAGGAAGGCTGCTCAGAGGGACCTGGACAGGCTGGATCCATGGGCCAAGGCCTAGTGCCAGGTCCTGCCCTTGGATCAATGCAGCACTACAGGCTGTGGGAAGAGTGGCTGGAAAGCTGCCCATTGGAAAAGGACCTGGGAGTGCTGGTCAACAGCAGCTGAACATGAGCCAGCATGTGCCCAGGTGGCCAATGTCATCTTGGCTTGGATCAGTAATAGCACTGCCAGCAGCACCAGGACAGGGATTGTCCTCCTGTACTCCACACTGGTGAGGCCACACCTCAAATCCTGCATCCAGCTGGGCCCCTCACAACAAGAATCACATTGGGATGCTGGAGTGAAACCAGAGAAGAGCAATGGAGCTGGTGAAGGGTGAAGAGAATACATCCCTCAGCAGCTGAGGGAGCTGGGGACTGTTTAGCCTGGAAAAAAAAGGAGGCTCTGAGGGATCTGAATAATGTCTATAATAATAATCTCTGCCTGAAAGAAGGTAGTAGCCAGGTTGGGTGGGCCTCTTCTGCCAGGCAACCAGTGACAAGATGAGGAAATTACTTTAAGCTCTTCCAGGGGAGTTTCAGACTGGACATCAGGAATAACTTTTTCACTGAAAGCATGGTTAAGCATTGAAACAAGCTATCCAGAGAGGCACCACCCCGGCAGTGTTCAAGAAATGGGTGGACATGGCACTCATTGCCTTGCTTTATTTGGCATGGTGGTGTTTGGTCAAAGGCTGGACCCTGTCACCTTGAAGGTCTTTTCCAACCTTAACAATTCTATGATTCTATGAAAACAAACAAAAACCAAAAGTGAATGGTTGGAAGAAGGAAGAAACCTAGAGAAAGAATGCACTGTGCTGCAACTGAGGGCAAAGAGTGCCTTGCTTTCCTGCATTGGAAAGCCAAGTCAACATGAACTCCAGTGTCATGAAGTCAGCATCTGTGTCCTCACATCAAAATATGGAAAACATGAGGTTAAGAGCAAGCAGCAGGCATGCATGACTGCATAGAGAAGAAGGATCTGGACTGAAGAGCAATTCACAAAAGAAACAAAAAGCCCTCTTGAACTGTTTTCTCTTGGCCTTTGATATCAAGGACCCTTATCCTGCAGTCAGCTGCAGCAATTGGGTACCTGTGGCCAGCCATGTGCTAAACTTTCCAGCATGAGGGGACTAAAGAATATTAACAAAATGTGCAAATGAAAGTAAATTTCAAAGTAAATTATTTTTGTTCTTACAACTCCCCTCCTATGTCCATGTTATCAGTAGCAGTCAGGCCAAACCCTTTTTTTATTTCTTGCCATTTTTAACTGTGTAGTAGAAATATCTCAGAGACTCAAGCAATACTATCTCATAGATTATTCAGACCTCAGTATTGTGTCTTAAGGAGAGGGAAAAAGGGTTTTTTACTCCTTTTTAATACCTGACACTGAGCACACACTCCCATATCAAAAGAAGTTAATCATATAGCTACAAAATCTTCCCAGTTATGTCAGGATTTTATTCTTCCCCCTCCCCGCCACCAGCAGAAACAAAAATTTAAGCCTACAATATACGGAGCAGGAGACGGAAAACATCTTTATCCCTACCGAGGTACAGAGAACCTGGACCAGGAGATCCTCTGAACATTAGAGGAGGAAAACCAACCTAGGGAGATGCTTTGAAAAAGACAATGTGAAGCTGATAGGCCCTGGTTTCCAATACCAAAAGAAACAAACAGAGTGAAACTTCACTACAAAAACAAATAATTGGATTTCCATTGTACCTCTGAATGCTACATTAAGCATCAGTTCTTTTCAGTTGAGAGACAGCATTTTTTTTTAGATTTCTCAAAGGATTTGGATGCTCTATTGTGGCCAGACTCTGATCTGGCTTCACTTCCCACAAATCAGTATCAAATGCAGAGAAGCAACCTGCTACACAGGCATTTTGCAGACAAAAATAGTGCAGAGCCTAATCAGGAATCTCGTGGCAGGAAACAGGCCTTCCTACAACAGGAAGCCTAGGAAAGACTACTGGAGACAGCCGTCCAAAAGCAGCTGCCTTGCCAAAAAAGACAAAATGGCTGTACACTGGCAACTCTTGAAGCAGGAAATCACTGAATTAAGTACTCAATCTACTGAGCAATTTAGTGTGTCATCTGCTTCCTGGCAACAGATATTTGGAATCACTTTTACATTGCATTTCAGCTGTATCTCATAATTGGGTTGAGTACAGTGTCCTCTCCAGTAAGCAAAGAGGTCAAGGTCAGAGGCTTTTCTGACTCCTACCCAAAATAAATATTTTAACCCTTTTCCTTCCTTCATTTTCATCATTTTATCATTTCTAATTTAGGGGCCTGAAATTCCTGTTTCTAGTCTGATTTGGGGCCAGGGCAGACTGAATCACTGATATCAGTCTGCCAAAGTTAATTGTGGTCTCCATGGGACAGTACAACAGTCTGACAGGAGATAAATATCAGGGCACAGTGAAACAGGGAAAAGAAGACCAGTGGATTCCCCCTGTGATTGTTTTGATGGAGTGTCAGGAAACTTTTCAGGAAGTTTCTTCTCAGCTTATGTAAAAAGATAGAGTGAGGGAGAGTGAGACAGAGAGGCAGACAGAGAGGGAGTGAGGGGAAAGGAAAGGAAAGGAAAGGAAAGGAAAGGAAAGGAAAGGAAAGGAAAGGAAAGGAAAGGAAAGGAAAGGAAAGGAAAGGAAAGGAAAGGAA